ACCTCTAGTTTTCTGGTGGTGAATTGGAGACAAGCATCCCATTGACTTTCCTGCTCAGACTGGCTTTGAATGATCCTCAGATCTGTTTCCTGAGTAGCTAGGATTACAGGTGTGAGCCACCTGTTTATCTGTTTATGTAGCTGTTCTGGTGATTTAATTGCCCTGAGTCCTATCAAAGAGGTTAGCAATATTTATGTTATTCAAACAAAAAGCTTGCCAACACTCAATTTAGAAAATAATTTCCAAGGCCGGGGCGCTGGTGGCTCACGCCTGTAATCCTAGCTACTCAGGAGGCTGAGATCTGAGGATCGCGGTTCAAAGCCAGCCCCGGCAGGAGAGACCATGAGACTCCTATCTCCAATAAACCACCAGAAAACCGGAAGTGGCGCTGTAGCTCAAGTAGTAGAGCACTCGCCTTGAGCTGAAGAGCTGAGGGACAGCGCCCAGGCCCAGAGTTCAAGCCCCACGACCGACAAAAAAAAAAAATAATAATAATAATAATTTCCAAATAAATAGCAGACATCAAATTCTGCCAGTCAGAATTTAATGAATTGGGGGGATCGGGGACACAGGCAGTGCTGGTGATCAAACTCTCATGAATGTTAGGTAAGCATTCTACCCATAAGCTACATGTCAGCCCCACCACTCTATTAAATTCAGATTTAAGAGGAAAAAACTATAAATCACAAGTAAAATACTTTTTTTCACCAAGTCAACTTCTAATAAAGTATGTGTGTACTATTTCAAGTATTTACCTGTATTTTAGAATACAAGTATCATCCCTATTGAAAAAGTATTCTTGAATCTAACTCTCAGCACCACATAAGCAAAATGAAAAAAAGCCGGAAGTGGTGTTGTGGCTCAAGTGGTAGAACGCTAGCCTTGAGCTGAAGAGCTGAGGGACAGCGCCCAGGCCCAGAGTTCAGGCCCCATGACCGGACCCCCCAAAAAATAAATAATAAACCAATGAGCATAGTAATAAATTCCAGCTTACCTTATTATAGTACTTACCATATTTCCACGAAAATCATAAGGTGATGTGTCTTAGTGGAAGTAATTCTATTTTTAAATATTTGAAAGCATGGAAACCAATCCTTGTAATTAGCTAATAAAAATATGATTTACCATTAAAGTTAATGATTATATTTGAGTAAACTGGTAAAATACCACATTCAAGAATAGATAAAAATCAGGTTATCAAGCTTAGCTAATAACCAAGCATAATGCCAAATAAATGAAGCAGATAACAACAGCTGAGACTTCACTGTGAGAACTGCAACATTTGATACCATTTAGAACAGTACCTGCCCTGCTTAAAATGTTTAACTTTTTTTAAAAAAGTACTACACGATCCTAGAGCATCCACAGACTAACACGGTGTTTATAGTGAATGGGCAGCTAAAATTAACACAATTCTGACAATGCACCAGAATTTAAACTAGGTGCTTTTAATGATTTTTCATCCCAATAACCCTGTGGAATAGGCATTGTCTAGAGAGACTAAATATCTGGATTAAAGTCACAGCTGGCAAGGGGCAAAATTAGGTTTAAAACCAGGTGTTTCTACTACCATATTGTACATCAACGTATTACAACTACAAGGAGAACTTTTAAGTATTCTTCAGCCCAGAATCTACCAATCTTAACAAAACAATTTCAGCCACCACAAATTATGTAAACTCTCTACAAATACCAATGTGCCAAGTTTGGGAACTACTACCACTTCTGGCTTTTTTCTGCTTATGTGGTGCTGAGGAATCAAACCCAGGGCCTAACGCATGCAAGGCAAGCACTCTACCTTCCCAGACCCCCATGGCTATTCTTGTTACAAGAGTCAGTTCTCTGCTGCACTGAACATCCAACAGCAGTGTCCTCTGGACAGACATATGGTTATCATATGCTTCAATCATTTCATACTTAAGACTGAGTCTACAAATAGTCCACAGGGAAGGCACAGTTAAATGATAAATTAGTTGAAAGTGAAAAGTGATTAACTTGCACAAATTATACACCTCATAAACAAAAATTAACAATTATAAAACCTTTTAAAAAGATAACAACTGAATTATACATTACCAAGTTCTGAACTATACATTTTACACTAACAATCAAAGCTGGGCTTAAAGAGTTCCTAGTACCCAGTTTTGCCTAAGGAAAAGAAATTTTTAAGTAATTTATATAATAATCTAACAGTGTATATAAGCATTAGCAAAGGCAGAAAGTGGGAGGAGCAAGCAACAATAACAACAAAAAAATCAAAATACTAGCAAAATGGATGCCTGCATACTTTTTTTTTAAACTGACAAAAAGCCTGTAATCCTAACTAAACAGGAGGTACAGACAGGACAACGTTCCTATCTGAATAAAGCAAATATAGGGCTAGTGTGTGGCATAAGGGCCTTCCCAGCAAGCACAGACCCCAAATTCAAATCTAATACTCTCTCTCCCCCACAAAAAAAGGTGGAAGATTATAAACTATTTAGAAGCCAGATGCCCTAAACATAATGAATTTCAATATAAATCTGATGTTACTGAATCTGACTCTAAAATACTTCCATTGTAACAAAAATACAGAAAATATTCAATTCTTATCTTTAAAAATCAAGTAAGACACAATTTCTGAAATATTATATTTAAAAAACTGGCAATACTCAGTTTAAAACTCAGGGCCCTGTGCTTGCCAAGCAAGCATTCCCACCACTGAGCTATGCCTTCAGTCCTTACCTTTGCTCTTTTGTTGTTTTGTGCCAGTCCTTCCTTGGGCTTGAATTCAGGGCCTGAGACTGTCCCTGAGCATTTTTGCTCAAGGCTAGTGGGCCACTGCTCTACTCTACACTGCTCTTCCAAGCTTTTTAGTTAACTGAACCTAAGTCTCACAGACTTTCCTGCCTGGGCTGGCTTTGAACCACAATCCTCAGATCTCAGATTACAAACATGAGCCATCAGCACCTAACCTTGGCCATTATTTTGAGACAGGGTCTCACTTCCAGCCCAGGTATGTTCTGGGTGTGATCCAACTGTTAGGTTTCCTGGTAACTAGAGTAGCAGGTGGTCTCACTGAAATCAGCTCTTTGTTGAGAAGAGATCGTGAGAAATTTTCCCTCCCTGGTAGTGGTAGGCCTGGGAACTCAATCTCAATGATTTCACCTTAGGAAGGACTACAGACATAAGCCACCAGCACTTGCAGTTCTAAGCAAATCATTACCACAAGAATTTGTTCATGATACAAATAAAATGGAGTAGTAGAAAAGAAGAGATTTTCAGAGAAGCAAGTACCAAGATATTCTGAGAAGTAACAAAGTTCATTACCATGGTTCAGGTGATTTTATGGAACAATTCCTCAAATTTTATGCTTTGTGTTAATTATGTCCATCTATTCCTTATGTGATTGTTGAAAATTTGTCAGAGATGAGTTTGAAGCATACAGCTTTTACTTTGTTCTGACCACTATGAACAATTCCCCACAATCTATCTACAATTTAACTAGTTTCTGTACTTGTGATCCTTTTCCAACAATATACTCCAAATTTTACATCAGTTGCCTATTATTTAACAGCAACTTAAAACTATGCTAACATATAACCTTTATTTTTAAGTACATGTGCTTGGCTCTATCCCTTTAGTAAGCAAACTTGTTAATGCCATCACTTAATAGGCTATAACTATACCACCATAACATATGTTTAAAAAGAGTTCATTATCACACTGTATGAGAGCACAATAAACACTCAACTCCTAGTAAATGGAAATTAAAGTAGAAGGAACTGATAAAATATAAAATGCCAGAAAATAAAAAAATGTTTCTGGTATTAGAAAATACAAAAACACAAGGTAGCTTTTCAACATAAACCACTTTTCTAAAGTCTCTTCTGGTTTATTATTAGCAAACAGCTATAAAAGGCAGTTTTTATTTCCTTATCAAAGTGAAATCTGAGCAAAGATATTCAATATGTGATACAGTTCTGTCAAAGTATTTCTTAGGTTCTTGTAACTAATGCTACATGCTAATTCAATTTAGTTTAAAAAAAAAAGCCTATTTAAAAAGTTAAGGTGTGGGCTGGGAAGGTGGCTCAGTGGTAGAGTGCTTCCCTTGCATGCCTGAGGCCCTGGGTTCAATTCCTCAGCACCACATAAGCAAAAAGAGAAAAGCTGAGGGGGCTGGGAAGGTGGCTCAGTGGAAGAGCACTTTCCTTGCATGCCTGAGGCCTAGGGTTCAATTCCTCAGCACCACATAAGCAAAAAGAAAAAAGCTGGAAGTGGCGCTGTGGCTCAATTGCTAGGCCTTGAACTGAAGAGCTGAGGGACAGTGCCCAGGCCCAGAGTTCAAGGACCTACGACCGGACCCCCCCCCAAAAAAAAGAAGAAGAAAAAAGCTGGAAGTGGGGCTGTGGCTCAAGTGGTAGAGCACTAGCCTTGAGCTGAAGAGCTAAGGGACAGCGCCCAGGCCCAGAGTTCAGGCCCCACGACCAGACCCAGTGCAATTTATAATAAAATAAAATTTAAAATATAAGATGCACATAATACCTTCTGCTACCACTAACTCATCCTCAAGTATATGTATGTTATGTCTATTTTAATTTTCCCACCATCACCAGCCTCAGTGGAGGTATACAGCTTCTGGTGATAACTGGGAGCTAGGGCAGAGTACTGATGTAAAATTAGGGGGGAAAAATTGTAAACTTCTGAGAAAACACAATTTTAAAAATCAAACAACATTTAACATTAGACAAATATAAAACTTCAAAGGTTTTTGCTCTAAGATAATGTTTACAATTAGAATCTATCTATATGTAATGTTAAAAATAGTCAAAATACAAATACAGAGCTAAAAGATTTCTAAATCAATAAAATGAAAATATTTCCAAAATTAATGTGCAAATAAATTGCATACTTGATAGTGAAAAAAAACTTTTTCTAACCTCAAAGAAATAAAATATAATAAACTTTGAAGTGAATGTTTTTGGACACCAGTACCTTGAACACTACAGAGAACAACAACATTCTGAAAATCCAGTTTTATTTTCCATGTTGTGGACAGATCCAGTTTAAGTGTGATCAGTTCTTCTGTATGTGTAATAATTTATCAAAATAAGTTTTCCCACAATATTCTTTTCCATCAACTCTGAAAATCCTAACCTAACAACATAACCAAATAAAACTCTTGAAACTCACCTCTTAAAATCTGGAAGTTTGGCGAGTCTCTCCTGTAACATTTATTGAACTATAAATGGCTAAAGAGCAATTTATATTTTAAAAGGTGACTAATAAAACAGCTAAGTTCAGGAAATTAATGTCTTAAAGTGTACTTTGCTCCCATTTTAGCCAACATGCTATATTTTTCCTTTTTTTTTTTCTTTTTTCTTTTGTTTTAGTCTTGTTTCAGAGAGAAGTGGAGTGAAAAGGCGCACGACGCACAATGTGGACTTGAAAATTTCCACAGTACGAAAAAATAACGGCTCTGCAAACAAACCTGTAAGCTGCCGTTTTCCTTAAGACCTGGACATTTTAAGACAGAAGCTTTGCAAAACATTACACAATTTTTTATTATTAAATGAGAAAAATCTCATTTGTTACATAGTCACATTGCTAGTCAGAGAAATGCTGCAGTGATGAAGAAAGTCAATGTTGGATCAACCAAAGTCCTCATTTCTACAACATTCATTTACAAAGAAATAATGTTCAACATAGCCCAACACAACATTCTTGGTTTTCTTCATAATGAAGTCCCCCAAAAAAAATCATCTTCTAATGGGGTATTTCACTACATAAATTATAGTTCTTCATTTTTACAATTCACCCCAAACTGCATGAGAGATGTACCACGCTAAAATTTCTAAAGCTGTTAGGAAGTCCTTCACACATCGTCATCATCTGATGTGTCACTGCTACTTGTCTCTGTGTCATCATTCTCAATTGTGGGTTTGAAAGTGCTGTTTTTCCAAGGTCCAAACTTGAAGTCACAGATCAGGCCATTTTTCAAAATACCATTTTTTCTCAGACCATTTTTCTGTAACTAAAATTTCAAATAAACATTATCACAAGAGTTATCCATTAAGAAGAGTACAATAGTGAAGTATACTAATAAATACAACAAACTTAAAAAACTGTACTATTTTCCAACAATATTCTTCATACCAAGTCATAACCTGGAAAATAAGCTATTTAGATAGACAAAATATTTCCTCTCCAACAAATATACATACAACCTAACAAAACACTGTAAGAATTAATGTATTATACAGTACAGGAAAAAAATACAGATTTTTCTAACCAGACAGGGTAAAGGTGAACCTTGTCACAATTACCAGTGTATTAAATATTTTGAAATTTTCAGTTCCTTACATGAACACTGTAATAAACATATGCTGAGATGTGACATAACATATATTCAGCAACCATTATAGCTGTTATTATTATGACTCATATGAACACACCCCATCATCTGCTTAATTCATATGTAAAATAAAGTGAGATATACAAAGAAAATCATTTGAGTTCTGAGCTTAACTACAGATATTAACAGAAAAAAAAATTAGTCCTCTATTTCTGAAACTGAGAAAACAGAGCTAGAATACCAACAAACAAGAACCAAGCTAAGCTAAAAATTCAGAAAGAAAACAGATGGTTAACCCAAATTAAAACTGTTATAAGTTACAAAAACAAAATAAAAATCAATGACAACACATAATTACTAATTCAAGCCTTTTGAATTTCTCATGAAAAAATGCATCCATGGGTCAAAAACTATAAATATTTGAAGTGTATATTATGTAACATACAACCAAAGAAAACGCAAAGTTACTACTATCTATAGCCAACTTCATAATCAGAATTCAAAAACCTATTAAGGGTCCATATCTTTAAGTAATAAGAGTGCTTGCTTTGTAAGCAAAAAGCAAAGTGCAAACTCCAGCACTATTCTGGGGGGGGGGGGGGGAATCCTGGGGCTTGAACTGAAGACCCGGGTGCTGTCCCTGAGCATTTTTGCTCAAGGCTATTGCCCTACCACTTTGAGCCACAGTGCCATTCCAGCTTTTTCTGTTTATGTGGTGCTGAGAACTGAACCCAGGGCTTCATGCATGCTAGGCAAGCACTCAACCACTAAGCCACATTCCCAGTCCCAGCACCATTTTTGATTTTTAAAAAACAAGCTATAAATAAACTTAACTGGAAACAGTAACAAAAAGGAAAATTGTCTGTAGATGTCATGGGACAGAAAAACCCCAGTGATCATTCTCTAAAATTCCCTGTAAAACTAAGAAATACAGCAAAGTTTCAGGACACGTAGCCAAACACAAAAAGCAGTTCTTTTTCTAGCAGTGTATGAAAAATTCAGAAAGCATTGTTGCCACACATCAGTAGCGCTCACCCTTGTAATCCTAACTACTCAGAAGGTTGAAATCTGAAGATTTCAAAAGGGTGCCAAAGGGTGCCCAAGCAGGAAAGTTTGTGAGACCCTTATCTCTATTTTAAAAAAGCCTAACAACCATGAGGTCCTGAGTTTGAAACTTCCTATAATGGATTTGGGAAAATTCAACTTTTTATTTTGTGAGGGAGGTAGATGACACAGTCTTATTATGTAACCCAAGCTGAACATCAACTTGCAGCCCAAGTAGCCTTCAACTCATGATCCTCCTTTCCTAACGCAAAGCATCTCCTAACAAAATCTAAAAAAAAAAAAAAAAATGTAATTATGAGCCAGGCACTTGTAATACTAGCTACTCAGGAGGCTGAGAGCTGAGTATCATAGTTCAAAATCAGCTCAGACAGTAAAGTCTGTAAGACTCTCATCTCTAATTAACTACTCAGAAAAACCTGGAAGTGATACTATAGCTGAAGTGGGAGAAGGAAAGGGGGAGAGAGAGAGGGGGGGGAGGGAGAGAGGGAGGGAGGGAGAGGGAGAGAGGGGAGGGAGAGAGGGAGAGAGAGAGAGGGAGAGAGAGAGGGAGGGAGAGAGAGAGGGAGGGAAGGGGGAGAGAGAGAGGGGAGAGAGAGGGAAGAGAGGGAGAGGGAGAGGAAAAGAGAGAGAGGGGAGAGAGAGAGGGGGGGGGGGGGAGAGAGGGAGGGAGAGGGGGAGAGGGAAGAGAGGGGGAGAGGGAGAGGGAGAGAGAGAGGGAGGGAGAGAGAGAGGGGGAGAGAAGGAAGGAGAGAGGGAGGGGGAGAGGAAGAGGGGGGAGAAGGAGAAGAGGGGGAGAAGAGAGGGGGAGAGGGAGAGAGGGAAGGAGAGAGGGAGGGGGAGAGGGAGAGAGGGAAGGAGAGGAGAGGGAGGGAAAGAGGGGAGAGGGAGAGAAGGAAGAAGAGAGGGAGGGGGAGAGGGAGAGAGAGAAGAGGGGGAGAGGGAGGGAGAGGAGGAAGAAGGGAGAGGGGAGAGAAGGAGAGGGGGAGAGAGAGAAGGAAGGAGAGAAGGGGAGAGGGAGGGGGAGAGGGAGAAGGGGGAGGAAGAGAGGGAGAAATAGAGAGAGACAGAGACAAAGACAGAGACAGAGAGAGAATGAAGTAGAGGCCTAAAACAAGATGTTTTAGGAAAGAATGCACTCATACCAAAAGAAAATGTCAAAGGTCAAGTTATTTAGAAGGCAATTAAGAGCTATCATCCAGGCCAAAACAACCACCAAAAGCATCCTGAATAAAAATCAAATATATTGTTTATATCAACATAACTACTGCAGACAAAATTATCATTGCAAATTTGTTTAAAACAAAGGCAGGTCTGACCAAAATTTGAGTATCTAACAAATGCCTAAAACTATAAACTTGTCTTTCTACTGTAATTCTTACCTTTAACCGTATTATTCTAATTAAGAAAGGGCCATTTTAGGACTAGAAGCATGGCTCCAGTGGTACAGTACCAGCTTGCTAGCAAGTAAGAGGCCCAGAAGTTAATGCCTAGTACCACCAAAAAGAACAAAGAAATAGACAGCCATTCTCAAGCAAACATTTGAGGAGGAGAACATTTCTTTAGTGCTATAGCATCAGCCTTGAGTGAAAAAAGCCAACCAAGATGAGGGCCAGTAATTCATGGCCCAGTACCACCACAAAAATAAGTAAATAAACGAACAAATGACTTAGGTTTTCTTACCTGCTCACTAATAACTTGGAATTCTCTCATTTCATCCTCAGTTAAAGGAGCACAAGTTTCATCATTTTCACTGTCTTCCTGCCAGCCCATCTCTTTTAACAATCTGAGAAGAAATGTTTAATTTAGAGGATAGGATAACTCCTCCACTTAGTTTATGTACTAGAAAATACACAGCACATGAACCATTACATTAAAACAATATATTTTTTATTAAGTTAAATATTTTTGGTAACTAATCTATCTTTGCTAATAATAAATAGCTTACCTGTTGGTGTCAAAGGTTCTCTAAGCTAGAATCTTGCAATAGGAAAGGCCTAACTGAAATTTAGTGAGAAGGTGGATGGACTAATGGTACTAAAGATTGAACTGGGCCTCATATATGGCTAAACAGGTATAACTTGGGCCATTTTGTTTTCCCCAATATCCTGTGCAGGCTTGAACTGCCACCCTCCATTTCAGGCTTTTTGCATATGTATGATAGGTGTGTGTCACTACATTCAACTTCTTATTGTTTGAAATAATAACCCAGGCCCAGTTTAGCCTCAAACCACTATCTCACCTCCCAAGGAACTAAATATGTGATGTATGTGGGCCACACAGCCCAACAAATCTGTCCAATTCTTGTACTAAAAGTGACATGATTTCCCTTCTTTTTTTCCATACCACCATAATCCAACATATTCTTGGCACCTTATTATGTTTACTACTTTGAAAAGACTTGGATAGCTTTTAACTTTTTAGTTGGTTGTGGGGCCTGAACTCAAGGCCTGGGCATTCATTATGTCTGAGCCTTTTCATTTTGTTCAAGGCTAATAAAACGCTACTACTTTAAGCCAAAGCCCCACTTCCAATTTTTGGGTGATAAACTGGAGATAAAAGTCTCACAGAGGGCTGGGAAGGTGGCTCAGTGGTAGAGTGCTTGCCTTGTATGCCTGAGGCCCTGGGTTCAATTCCTCAGCACCACATAAGCAAAAAAAAAAAAAAGTCTCACAGGCTGCCCAGGCTGGCTTCAAACTCCAATTCTCAGATCTCAGCCTCCTGTGTAGCTAGAATTACAGATGTGAGTCACCAATGCCCAACCCTATCTTGTATTGTATAATTTATTCTTCTGCTCCCATCATCTTTAAAGGGCATGTCAATTATCTTCAACACATAAATTTGAAAGAGGTCTTATGTCCTAGGTATTATGTCCTCTAATAGCTAAATAAGGATCAAAGTAAGTAAATCCCCCTCCATTTTTTAATGAAAATACTTTTAGGTAAACAGAGCTTAAGACTGACAGAGAATTTCACCATTTTTCAATAACTCGACCAATTTAAATACTGTACCAACAGCTTTATTGCATTTGACTCAGTTACTTCATAGTTTCTAGTTCTTATTAGGCCTCTCCATCTTGTACTGGTGGGTTTGAGTCTGTTTTTTAACTGCATTCCTTTAGGCTAAGTCTGATAAGGCAGAAAGATCACAAGTCCATGGCCAACCTGAGTTATATAAGTAGTTCAAGCAACAAATAGGACCCTATTTCAAAAAAGCAGATTGCAGCTTGAGCCCATCAGACATCTGATAAATTTTCATAGAACACAACTCAGGAAGAGTGAGTAAAGTTTAACTTGCTCTCTATATCTTCCAATGACTAATCAAAGTCACATAGGAAAAACAACTTGCCTATTTCACAGTAAAAGAAGGCAACAGGAATTTTTGGGTATCAGCCTCTCAAGCTAATATTATACCAAACTCTGCAACCTCTGAACCAAAATAGGACAAGTCAACATTACTATGATTTATTTCATTCCCATTATCATCTTTTCTTTTCCAAACGTACTTTTTAAACTTTTTAGATGGCCTCTTTCAAGTGCTATTTTCATGCATTTTTATCATTGAATGCCATCTAATATGGAGCATGTATAGAGCATATGGATCCTAGAACTAGTAAATCTAAACTCCTTTTGCTAGATCTACATCTTTAATATTTCTAAAACTGGCTACATCTTTACTACTTCTAAAACTGGCTACCAGCAATATAGATGAAAACACTTAAGTATTACAAAGGAAATATAACAAAAGATTGGATTAAAGGCGTGACTCAGTAGGAGAGTATGATTAGAATATACCAAGTCCCTGGACTGAATTATTGTTAACAAAATAATAAGGGTAAGAGGGGGCACAGTAGTAAAAATCATTCAAGCAAAGTAATTATCCTTAAGAACTGTATCTCTGGGGCTGTGACATAATGGTAAGAATACTTGCCTAGCATGTATGAGGCTTTGGGTTCAATTCCTTAGTATCACATAAATAAAAAGTGAAACAAATTTAAAAAACAAACTATATCACTGACAACTCACTGTTAAAATGCAACTGAAGAGTAGGTAATATGTATTGTGACACTAAAATCACACTTAAGTTTATGGTAGCCGGGTACTACCAACTGGATCACACCTATAATCAGGCCACTGAAAGACCTGAGGATAGAGATTTAAATCCACTGAGTCCAGCCTGGAAAGATTCCATCTCCACAGAAATGGAGGCATAGCATAAGTGGTTTATGTCAGCTGTGAGGTGAAAAAGCCAAGCAAGATTTTGAGGCACCAAGTTCAAGCTCCAGCATGAGCACACATGCATGCAGACGCATGCACACACGCACACATATATACATACATACATACACACACACACACACACACACACACACACACTACCAAAAATATGAAACCATGGGACAGACATATCACTTGATTTTAACAGAAAAATGAAGCTGGAAATCTAAAAGCTGTAACATTTTTTAACTTAGGGGAAAAATGTATTTCCCCAAGAGTAATAAAAAAATGTTCACAGAAAAATTTGTACACAAATGGCTCGCAGCACAGCATTATCCATAAAATTCAAAAGTGGAAATAACTGAGATCTATTAGCTGATGAACAAAATATCTTGTAACAACACAATGTGTTATAATGTGTTATACAGCAATAAAAATAACAAAAGTCCAGGGGGATATGGTATACATCTGTAATCCTAGTACAGGCAAAAAAGTTAGTAAGACCCAATTCCAATCAACCAACAAAATGGCACACCTGTAATCCCAGCTAAACAGCTAAAAGCAGGAGGTCTGAAGTTTAATTTGAGGGGAAAAAAAAAAAGTTTAAAACCAGGTGCAGATAGAAAACTGCAGTTTCAGACCAGTTTCAGTCAAAATCAGTAAGACACCATCTCCAGAAAAACAACCAAAAAGTAGGACTGGAGTGGGTAGAGTGCCAGCTGAGCAAGGAAAAAAGGCTAAGTTCAAATCCCACTACTAGGGACAGAATGGGGTGGGGAGAAAGACTGCACCTGATAAGTAACTAAAGCTAATAAAAGGGCTAGAGGGTATGGCTCAAGTGGCAGAGCACTGGCCTAATAAGTGTGAGGCCCTGACTTCAATTCTAGTACCACCAAAAATAAAAAGGAATCAAGTACTGATGGCCTACAACTCTAATTAGTCTGAAAGTATGCTTTGTCAAAAAAAAACTAAGTAGAAAGATATAAAAGATTGTATATTTCTATATTCTTCAGAACATACCTTGCTTCAATGTTTTATAGGATTAGACAGGAATGAAGATACTACTTGATGATAGGATTACAGAAAGGCTAAATAAAAATCCTTTGAACAGTGAATCATTTTTAAAAGATTGTGGGGCTGGGAAGGTGGCTCAGTGGTAGAGCGCTTGCCTTGCATGCTCAAGGCCCTGGGTTCGATTCCTCAGCACCACATAAGCAAAAAGAAAAAAGCCGGAAGTGGCACTGTGGCTCAAGTGGTAGAGCACTAGCCTTGAGCTAAAGAGCTGAGGGACAGTGCCCAGGCCCAGAGTTCAGGCCCCATGACCGGACCCAAAAAAAGAAAAGAAAAGAAAAGAAAGATTGTATATTTAAAATATCTCTAAAAGGCAAATCTACAAAAACCAAAAAGTATAGTACTGGTTACCTAGGACAAAGAGAAACATGAATAAATCTTTAATGGACATACGCTGTGTGGAGTGAGGGACATGTTCTAAAATTTTACTGCAATGGCAGTTGAATTTCTATGAGTATACTAAAAATTGTCTTAAAACAATTATTAACATTTAAAACAAGTAAAATTTATGGCATATTAAAAATCTCAATAAACATTATTTAATAAGTTAGGGACTTGAGCTATAGCTCAGTGGATATGCAAAACCTCTGCTTCAGTAGCCAGCATTACAAAAATCAATAATCACAAAAGAACTGCACAATAATTGAAACCTTGCATACTAACCTGTGTTCTGCCTCAAGTGAACTGGAAAGAACGTCAGTTTGTGGGTAGGTTGAAGACCGAATTATTTGTTGGGAAATAACTGAGGCATTGCCATTCTCTTGAGGAATTTCATTTTCATCGAAGTTTCTGTTTATATCTCTTTCCTGGTGAGTACTATTGCTGTTATGCAAATTAAATGAGTCCTCATCCTGATTTTTAGGGAGTCAAAAAAAGAGAAAGTTAAAGGACAGTTAATAACAATAAATTAATAAATCTTGGCTTGATTCCCATTAAGAATACATATACTGGTTATAATCATTAAATTTAAAGACATTCTCCCAAGAATAGAAAACTAAAATGGAATGGATTCTCAAAACTTTGTAAGTCTAGCTAGTCACACCTATTCAACAAAGGTAAAGCCAAAAGAATAAGGATGGAGACAGAGAAAAAGAAAAATATATAATTTTGCCCTTCCCCCCCAAGAAATTTAGTGATTATTTTTTAAAGCAGAGCAAGGTAGGACATGTTTTATAATTTCAGCATTTAGGGGATATTAGAGCATAAATATTACTGAGTTCCAAGGTCAGCCTGGGCTACATAATGAAGTGCTATTATATAACACCACCAATAATAAATGTACATGAAAATGTCATAATGAGCCAGGCGCCAATGGCTCATGCCTGTAATTCTAGCTACTAAGGAGGCTGAAATTCAAGGATTAGAGTTCCAAGCCAGCTCTGAGACTCTTATCTCCAATTAACCACCAAAAAACCATAAGTACTACTGTGACTCAAAATGATAAGAGCACTAGGCTTGAGCAAAAAAGTTCTGGAACAACAACCGGGCCCTGAGTTCAAGCCCAAGAACTGCCTTCCTCCTCCCACCAACAAAAAAAGAAAAATGTCATAATGAAACCCACTCCTGCATTCCTAATGTATGCTGTAAAAAATTCAAAACTTGGGCTAGAGGCCTGGCACAATTAGTAGAGTGCCAGTAGGGTAGCAATACCAAGCACAATCAAGGACCTGAGTCCAATTTCAGCATGGGCAAATAAACATGTATTTTTGCATAGGAAATGCAAAATACAGCGTTATGTACACAAATAATTAATAATCAAATTGTTATCAGGCCTTCTCTTTTGGGAGATAAAAATTCCATTATATAAAATATTCCAAGGCAATATTATGGTCAAAGAAGTATCTATGCAAATTAAATCACCTTCTCTGAGCCAGCCCGGCTTTCATCTTCATGTTCCTCTTCCACTCTGTCTCTTTTCAATGCTTTCAAAAATTCACTCTTCTTATCAGTGCGCATTCTTGTCAGTTTGGTTAGCCGAGGCTGCTGATTAAGTTTGTCAACAGGTGAAGAGGAATTTGAGCGATTACACTAAAAGGAAATTCAGAAACTGATAAATACAGAATCAAAGGAATAGGGAAAGGGGAAAAACAAATTGTTTAAATAGGGATACAGGTGGACCCATTGCAACAATGAGACGTACAAGTCTTACATCGGAATACGAACTTTACAACCTTGGGGGGGGGGGAGAGTTGTGGAGGAAGTGGGGGGAGGATGAGAAGGGGAAACAAAGGAGGCTACAATGCTTGATGAGAAATGTACTCATTATCTTGCCCATGTAATTGCAACCCACCTGTACAGTATTTTTACAATAAAAAAAAGGAAAAAAAAGGAATTACTGTCAATTAAAACTACCTCAGCTGGGTAGGAATGTGGCTCAGTCATAGAGTTATTTGTCTAGCATCCATGAAGCCCTGGGTTCAATTCCTCAGTACCACATATACAGAAAAAAAGCTGAAGCTGCACTGTGGCTCAAGTGGTACAATACTAGTCTTGAGCAAAAGAAGCTCAGGGATAGTGCCCAAGTCCTAAATTCAAGCGCCAGGACCAGCCAACCAAAAAATACATAAATAAAAATTTAAATTAAAAATAATAAAATTACCACCACTTCCAGTTTTACCTTTATTCACAATGCAAAATAATCTTTAAGATGTAGGTAAAAATCTGCTTTTATCACTATTCATTTCTTTTCCAGTACTATTCTGTATACATTACCACCACTATATTACATTACATTAACTCATTAATTTATTATCAAATTTTGTAATTTCAGCATTTAGGGGAGACTGGAGCAGGAACAATACTGAGTTCCAAGATCGGCCTGGGCTACATAATGAAACAATACTATAAAAACACCACCAACAGGGCTGGGAAGTGGCTCAGTGCTTATCTTGCATGCATGAGGCCTGGGTTCCATCCCTCAGCACCACAAAAGCAGAAAAAGCCAGAAGTGGTGCTGTGGCTCAAGTGGTAGGCCACTAGCCTTGAGCTGAAGAGCTGAGGGACAGAGTTCAGGCCCCACAACAGGCCCAAAAAACAAAACACCACCAACAAAAAAAAATGTGCATGAAAATGTCATAATGAGCTGGGCGGCATTGGCTCATTCCTATAATTCTATACATTTCCACTTTAACAAGTCGTTATGTCGAAAAACAAACTTTACAACTTTGGTGGGGAGGGGGATCTGGTGGAGGGAGGTGGGAGAAGTATGGGAAGGGATGGGAAGGGGAAACAAAGAGGAGGCAACAATGCTTGATAAGAAATGTATTCATTGGTGCTGGGAAGGTGGCTCAGTGGTAAAGCGCTTGCCTTGCATGCATGAGGCCCTGGGTTCGATTCCCCAGCACCACATAAGAAAAAAGCCAGAAGTGGTGCTGTGGCTCAAGTGGTAGAGCGCTAGCCTTGAGCTGAAGAGCTGAGGGACAGCGCCCAGGCCCAGAGTTCAG